CTCTCTACTCTCTCTCTCTCTCTCTCTCTCTCTCTCTCTCTCTCTCTCTCTCTCTCTCCGTTCTAGGGAAGCACGCGAAAGAACACGAGGAAAAGGAAATAAAAATGCGACGGACGACGAATGCGCGCCTCGAAATGATGAAGATAATCGCGATGTGCGATTGTCTGTTAGTTTCTATTTTCAAGACACTCGCTACGTGAAGCTTAAATATGTCATTTCGCTGCGGATTAAGAATTTAATTTTAATTCGCAGATAAGATTGTATAATAAATAAGCAATTGCATACTTCAAAGGGGAGACGGCCTTTATTATTGTTCATTTTTAAAGTCATCATTTTAGCTCTTTTTAGCAGTACTAAATAATATTATTTTATACTCGCGCTTATTATTCGTTTTATTTTTATATTCGTTTTAGCTTCAGTTACAAGATATCGCAATCTTTCTACCCGCTTATTCGACTCCCTGCTGGTCAAACGAACATGGCGAGAGCGATCGGAAACAAAGTTACAACGCTGCAAAGTGCCACAACTGTGCTACGCAGTGGTGCTTGACGGAAGAAAAAACACACGAGAAAGAGAGGAAAGCCAGATCTGCTCGCGATTCCCATTCACGGGAACGAGTCAAAGGGGGGAATCCACTCGACGAGGGAAAGGAAAAGAGGAGAGACGATCCGATACGAGTTGCGAAGTGTGCCATTTTCGGAGTATGCATAATGACAATATGAGCGAACGGATTTCAAAGAACTCCGCTGTCGTCTATTGGACGCCTCGCTCTCCCCTTTGCTCGCTTCTCGAAATATATTATCCGCGCTTCCCCGAGTTTCTATCGCGGAGGTCATCAAACGCCTGCGCCCGCGACGAGGCGTTTTACGCGCTTTGAGCCGTCGGTGGGCCTCACAATCGACCCGAACGAGAACGGGGAAACGAGACAAAAATGAGGAAAAGAGAGCCGGGGAGAGACGAGAGAGGCGTGCTTCCGCAGAACGAGTCAGAATTTCGGTGTATCTCCAACGGTAGAAAGCATATTTTACGATACCGTATCAACGAAAACAACAGGACGGATGCCGGATAAAGTTTTGTTTCTGAGAAAATCATCGACATATATCTAACGAGTGTAATATCGTTCAGATAACATCGATATGAGATATATCGAATTCGCGCTATCGGACGCTCATGTGTAATTCATTATCCGCGTCTGTGCAACATCCTCCTTTGCTGCTGATTTTTCTATCTCAATTCAAACAAAACAAAACATTTTTGTTTTTCTAATGTAATTTTACTTTAATGTAATTTTTAGTTTTATTTTATTCATTTTATTGACGCTTATTAATAAATGATACGTATTTCTCATTTGATTTTATAATTAATATAATAATTTTGATTTTATAATTTAAAGTTATAACACTAAAGATCTAATCTAAAGTCAAAACATTTTCTTAATATTATTTCTTAATATTTACATAGTTCTACATACTTTCTTAATATTATTATTATTATTTGTGACAAATATTGTTTACAGGGCTGAGATCCTGCGTTAACTTATATACTATGCTCCTTTATATAATCTTTTTCATAACTTTTTTTAAAACCTTTAAGCGTATTTCTCGTTGTTTCTGTCATTTTAAAAGTATTGCAAATTATTTGAGATCAAATGAGAAATGTAAAGAATGCAAGATGATGAGATACTCGGGGATAATTGAATTGCAATTGTACGCGTATGTTAAAGGCACATCCACGTCGCAACTGCAGTCGTAAGAACAGTAACACGTCCGAGCGTACGTGCGCGTGTCGCGGCTGGCGTTTCCAAAAAAGAACGTCGGCTTCGGGTTTTTATATGTGTTACGCGCCACCCGCGTCTTTATTAGCCCCTCTTTCTCTCTTTGTTTCTTTCCCGTGCCGTTTCAACGGCTCAGCCCGAGGGATCAAAGGGCTAATATGATTTCTCTCTTTTTCTTTCTCTCTGTCTCTCTCTTTCTCTCGCGTTTCCCGCAGCGAGACACGCGTACACTACACTACGTCACGCAACGTCTGAGCGAGAAGAGAAAGAACGAAGCGAGGCGAGCGAGTACGAGTTGGCTAATAACCCGCGAGCGGGAGGAGGACGTGAAACGCACCGCGAGTAATCGCGCGGCGCGCTGAATAACATTCGGCGTATAAAATAAACGCGCGCGCCGGTCGGAGTACAAAGGACCCTTAGTGGCGACCGGTGTAAAAAAGCCGTCGTTCGCGGGGGAGATGGAAGAAAGACGAGTTGGCGAGAAACGGAGACGGAAAGAGAGAGAGAGAGAGAGAGAGAGAGAGAGAGAGAGAGAGAGAGAGAGAGAGAGAGAGAGAGAGAGAGAACGAAAGAGGGCCCGAACCTCCCGAGTCATCGACGGGAACGAGACGAGGACGAGGATCGCGCGAGCGGGCGACGCGGGGGCCGCGTGCTCCGGCCGTGCCCCCGTCTTCTTTTCAGAGAGGCACGGGACGTCTCCCGAACTCCCGCGGTCCCAGTTCTCGTCCGTAACTCGAGACGTGTAATTAGGAGCACCGGACCAAGATGAATGGCCAAGTGGTGCCGGTGAGTGGTGCAGCTGGGGACGGGGCGAGTGAAAGAGCGGAGAGAAAGGTAAAGGGAAGAAGAGGGATGGGGAGGTGGTATCCACCAAAGGGTAGAAACTACGGGGCACCATGGCGCACTCGAGGGTTATCTCATACATCGGCGCGCATCCCCGTCCCCCTTTCCCCAAACCCCGACGGTGGTGGCCGATATTGGGTACAGATGTATATACCTACGTAATACCGCACGGCAACTACCTCCCCCCTTCCCTCCATCTCTTTCTCTCGTTCCCCGTCACCCCGACGTGCGCCGAGTCTGCGTACACTCGTCGTTTCTCGTGTAGGTGTGCACGGCTATCGAACCGGTTCCTCCTCTTTGAGAGGAGAGCCACCGTCATGGTGGAGAGTGGCAGCATCCTTTCCTCACCACTTGGATCTCATCTCGCCGTCGAGTCCTCGTGAGAACCGAGGGAGGACCCGCGAGCAGGGCGCAAATTGGCCAGCTCCGATTTAGACGAAAGGGTATCTCTTTTTTTTCCTCTCGCAACTCTTCAATTTGCGTTGCAGGGAAAAAAATAATATAACGAAAAAGAGTAGTAATTTTCCTTTCATTTCTGTTTCTTTTCTTTTTTCATTTTTTTTTTTTTTGTAAAGTCGGCGTGATATTTGAGATGATTAAATAGAGCGTGATGGCTGACAATCGGTTAACAGATTTTTAATAAATACGCTACGAAGAATATTATGTTTGAAGTAATTTCTCATCCCGCTCACGAGTTCGATCGGCAGAAGTTCGAGAGAAGAACAGCATACAAATGTGCGAAGAGTCGTTAAGTCAGAAAGGATTTGTCATTTTTATTGTACAGAATATAACAAGCTCTCGAAATCACTTGCAAGCAACGTGTTAGCATCACGCGATTCTATGCGCCGTGTTAGGCCTTGCTCACAATGAAGAAAATATTAGAAGCAGGAACAAATATTAAATCTTGAAGAAATCAAAATTAGAAATCAAGATTAAACGTCACGCACAATGGGCACAAGTGCATTGCGCACATTTAATTTTTATGTTTCTAATTTTTATTTTCATAATTTAATTTATTCCTAATATTTCCTCTATTGTGCGCAGGGCCTTAGAAATAATTCTTAAGTATAAAGTGCAAATCGTCAATACGCAATACTCGCGTAATCTACGTAATCTACGTAAAACAGTTCTAGAATAATCTTTTTCAACACACATGCAAGAGGCATAAATACGAGCGAAAATAATTAAACACATATAAAAGAGTGATCCCTCTCGGCACACGCGAGTAGATCTCGCAGGACATTTCCGAAATCTTTTTATGCGTCCCTCGAGATGGTTAACCGCACGCGCTTAAGCGATTAACCGGTAACGACGAAATATTTTACCCGGCGAGTTACGCGATTTTTATCGCGAAATAACAGCGTGCAACGAGCGTGTAACAATGCTCTCGGCGTAACGTATCGTGCTTACCCTATCGCGCCGATGCATTCGCGAGATATCCTCGCGATTCTTCGCGCACAGAATAATACTCTCTCCGCGTTCGCGATATATCCGATCGCGTAACTTCAAATCGCATACACAAGTCCGAGCCCGATATCTCCTTGAATCAATAGCACCACAGTAAAATTCTTCGCTCGCAGGAGGACCGCATGGGAGTGAAGAAGGGGTGGTCCATGGCCTCGCCACGAAACAGGGCTGCGATTTATTTTTCCCCCTTTCGTCTTTCTTTTTCCTCGGTCGAAATCGTCCGACCGGCCGAGGCGCGCGCGATTCGAACTCAATTAGCCGTAATTACATCGTCGGCGGCTAGAAAAGGAAACGGGGGGGAGGGGGAAAGAGATCGCGGCGGCGCGGGGGCAACCGGTCGGAGAGCGAGTCGAGATCGCGAGACGATCGGGATCTCCCGCGGGGGAGGGAGGGGGATGCGCCGTTACGGAAACTTCGATCGGCTCTCTCTTCCCTCCGCGTGATTCACCCCCGACGACGGGGACGCAGACAGAGCCCGCGGCGGGTAGGGGCGGTAAGGGAGGGAAGAGCTCTGGGTACGCGCTATACTCCACTCGGTACGGTACTTACACATGCAGACGAGTAGGGCCAGCAGAGCCGCGACGCGCCGCATCCTGGATCGCGCGGAGCAAACCGTAACAATGTTGTACACAATCTGTTTTCGTGGTCGAGAGAGGAAAAGAGAAGCACTCCGTGATCGCGTGGCGAGGTTCACGTCGCGATCATCCTCACGGCTGTTCCGCGGTAACTTTGACAAGGGACGCGCACACGAGACGAGATCGAGCGAGAAGCAACCGGCGCGAAGAGACGCGCGATACTGCGGCAACGAGTTCCACGCCGACTCGAGGCGACCCCTGAACGTCGCTCGGTTGCGTCGCCGGTCAAGGCGACTGACCGCGTCGCCGCCAGAGGACGCAACGTGTCGGTCAACAGTATTATCGTCGATGAGATAAGATAAATAATAAGGTGGTGATAAATAATTATTAAGGATGGATTTTATGATAAATCTCTGCTTACTTTTACTATGTCACATTTTCTTTCTCTTTTATTCGTAGCTTTATTTTGTAAATAAATTTATCTGAAAATGGAAACGATTTGCGCTAAGATAAGATAAGATAAATAATTTTTTAAATAGATAATATATACATATACATAATACGTGAGATAAAGATAATATATAGGAATAGCTCTTCTTTCTTCGTGTTTTGAGAATTATTAGATTTGTAGAATGTACTCTTTGAAATAATAAATTAAATTAAATTGAACTCTCTTGTTAGATAATACAAATATATACAAAAGATACCTTCAAGTTTTATCGCCTATTTTGATGGCAATCATTAGATTTATAATCCTTGAAAAGATTTTAATTCTTACAAGATTTGCAATTCTTGATGTTAAACTAATGTTAAATCTTAATAATAAATTTGTCGGCAATATGGACTTCAACACCACTTGTAATTTATTTCTTTTAATAAAAAGATGAGAATGACAAGATAATATCCTGTAAGAAAAGATGACTGATTCGCATAGTCATTTGAGCTTAGCGAACTCATGGACTCGAGTTCAATACACTTTGACGCTCACACACATACAATATACATACCTCTAACAAATGCTTTTATGATTAATAGTGCAATGAACGTTTGAAGAGGTGAAGTACAATTTAATTTAAAAGTAATAAGAAAAATGAAAATAAAACTCATGTGTACATTATGAAACGAAATAACAATACTGATTCCGATTTGTTATTTTTTAATTAAATTAAAAATTGTATTTTTTAATTAAATTAAAAATAAAATGATATTTCTTATTAAATTTTATTATTTTAATTTTACTATTTTACTATTTTAATTAATATTATTACTATCATTAAAAATCTTGTTCAAAAAATGGGAAAATGTCTATCCAAATAACAAACAATTGTCGGAATATGTTTGTCATTTTGAATTTATGCGATACTATCAAATAAATCGCTTTCATCGATTTAAAAGTTTAGTAAGTTTAGATTTCATCACTCGTGGCGAAAATATTTCTTCAAAAAAATCCATGTCGAAGGTTTTTGATCATCGCAATTATATCATGGGTTCCTACCGTCCATAATGAAAATTTTGAATTTGATTGAATATGGAATATAATATTGCAAATGAATACATTAATGATGAAATATATGATATATAATTTTATCAAGAAAAATTGTGCAATGATATTATCATGCAATGGATATCATAGAATGATATGTATGCACACCGACAGAATATATCTAAAGTAATTTATAATACATAAAATTACACTAATTTCGTCTTTTTTCCTTTTTAAGGCTACTATTGATGAAAAAAAAAAACAGACTATTAAACAGACTCAAAAATTTCATTTTATTTTTAAGAAGATTAACTTAAGATTAACTTTAAAAAGAATTATTTATTATTAAAATTATTTCATTTCTGATTCCTAAAAAAAATTTTTGTTATAATAACACGAACGTTGATCCCAAAAAAAGCATGACAAATATGTATGTATAATATACATATATTATATGATTGATTGATCTGTTATGAATCTGTTAAGAATTCTTGACTGTACACTAACGCCCTCTCGATGAATATGCGACTAATGAAAGAAGCGGTTAGTCGAAATAAAGCGTAGATGATAACAGAAGAAATAACAGTTACCTACTTACGAAATATCAAAATAAATATAAATCGCAAAAATTATAGTTATAAAAATATTTTTGTATACTACTTTTGTATACTGTACACTTTACATTCGTATTGTCAAACTTATTTACATGCGTTAATAAAAATATTAAAAATAAAATATATATTTTAGAAAACTGTTTCTTACATCTCTCATTTCTGCATTTAATTTTCATATTTTCATTGTCACTCATATTAATTGTCAAAAACGAAGATATTATTGCAAGATACATATAAAAATTTTATAAATATTAAACATACAGAGTTTAACATATAAAGTTTAACAATACACATGTAAACATAAAACTGATAAATGTGAAATTTCTAAATGTATTTAATAGACATATATATATATATATATATATATTGTGTAGTGTGTGTGTGTGTGTGTGTGTGTTGTGTGTGTGTGTGTGTGTGTGTGTGTAATAAGTTTTATAATTATACAATTTTTAATAACAAATATTTAAAAGTTTTAAAGATTTTGAATTATGTAACGTAAATATAAAAAGAACGTGTGCAACAATTTCAAATAATAATTTGATAAATTTAAATTATTACATATGAATTAGATATAAATACGTAATTTTTAATAAAAATGGAATGGATATAATAGTTTTGCTATAATCAAAAAATTAATATAAATAAAGATAATTTTTCCAATATTCTCAAGAAGAACATTTGACAAACTAACATAATTTAAAAAAAATTGATGAAAGGGTAATAAGAATATACAATTCAAATTTGTTATATTATCTTCATACATCTTGAGACATGTCGTTGTTTTCCGTGTCAATCATTTTATAATTATTGGTAATATTTATAATAACAATCTAAACAGTCACATACTTATATTCCTAAAGGTCTTAAATCGTTTTTTTTTCACTTTACATATGAATCTTTATTTTTCTATCCTATAATCGATCGACGTTCACATGTTTGTATAGAGAACAATCGGCATTCAGTTAGTTTTTTTTTTTTTTTTTATAAAGTTCCATCGTCGAAGATCTTTTTTTCAAAAATGTTGTAATATTGATTGACAATAAAAATTTTACCAAAAGCGATACGCAAATAGTCCGATTGAATTTGAAACATTTTTCACACTTGAATAATAGATATTTATCTACATAGAACTCACAAAAATTTAATCAACTGTCCAAAAGTAATATATAAGATATATTAAAAATCGCTTGTATATCGCTAGATAAAAGAGGAGTTATTATAATGAATGATATATTTTCAATCGAATATTTATCTGAAAAAAATCGCATGTCGCACAATATTTGATTGTCAGAGATAACAAATATGAGATATGATGAAATTCATAGCACAATGAAATAATTCGAGTGTG